GTATAAGAACGTTGCAGGACCCGGGGCCAATGGGAAGTAGAATTAGTTTCCTATTGCTGCTATAACAAACCCCACAAGCTTGGTGGCTTAACTCAGTGCAAATGTGTTGTCTTATAGTTCTAGAGATCAAAAGAGCAAAATGAGTCTTCTAGGGCTAAAATCAAGGTGTCACAGGACTGGCTATTTCTGAAGGCTCCGGGGGAGAATCTGCTTTTGTCTCTTTCACCTTCCAGCAGCTGCTCGCATTCCTTGTATCCTGGCCACATCATTTCAGTCTGAGTCGTGTGACCTTCTCCTCTATCTCTGCCTCCTCCTACTTCCTTTTATAAGGGCTACTGTGATTACATCAGGCCCACCTGGATAATCCAGGACAATCTGCCTATGCCAAAGTCCTTAACTTAATCACATCTGCAAAGTCCCTTTACCTTATAAGGTAATAGTCATAGATTCCAGGGATTAGGATGTGAACATATTTGGAGGGTCATTATACAGCCTGCCACAGTATACCCTCTGCCTCTTAAAGATTCACACCCATCCCACAAGCAAAATACATTCTTCCTCCATTCCAAGGTCCCTAAAAATGTTAACCCATTAATGCTTCAAGTCCAAAATCTCATTTTCCTCATCAGCTAAAAAGTCCCAATTCTTATCATCTAAATCAGGTATGGGCGAATCTCTGCACATATACATCCTGGGAGACAACCCTTCTCTCTCTATCTGTGAACCTGCGAAATTGGAAAACAAGTTACATGCTCCAAACAGCAATGGTGGGATAAACATAGGATAACAGTTGTGGACATTGCTTTCCAAAATGAGTTAAAATGAAAGGAAAAAAGGAGTCTGTGGTCCCAACCACTTTCCAAATGCAGCCGGGCAAACTCCATTACATTTCAGGGCCTGGGAATGATTTTCTGTAGCCCTTGGACTACAGCTCCACACTCAGAGTTACCTGTTGCTTAACAAGTAGCACTGTGTTTGCAGCTGAGTCATTTTATCAGTATCTTTCCTGCCTGTAGAATTCTGGAAGTCCAACCGCATTCTTTCATTCTGTCCTCACTCGGTCATTTTCAATGCAAGCAGGCAGTGTTTCTGCTGGTATAATATTCTCAAGAACCGTGTGGGCCATTATTCAGCATAGCACAGATAGCATTACACGGACGGGATAATTAATAAAGGGAAGTCAGTGTGACTTCTAAAGGATGGACTTGACTGTGTTATAAAGCACTACGTACACAGAACACAATAATTGAAAGTTCTTAAAAGTGTGTTTAAGGCATGTCAGTTCTTTAAATCTCAAGTTACGCACTAGAACATATTATCTGAAAGACCTTTCAACTGTGATATATCTCCTAACAAGAAAAAGTCAAAATGAGTGCTAAAAAATAAAATACTGTGCTGCCCAGAGGATGCTGATGACAACTTGAGAATAATCAAAAAAACAAGGCAGGTGCTTAAATAACAGCAGGAGGTATTAGAGAGAACTTCGTCATAGGAAAACAAACTAGTATCAGGATGGCAAATGACATCCTGGAAACTGCTTCCCCGGAGATTCTTTTTTTTTTTTTTTTAATTTTTTTATTGTGTTTTTATTTCAGCATATTACAGGGGTACAAATATCTAGGTTACATATATTGCCTTTGCCCAACCTGAGTCATAGCTTCAAGTGTGTCCATCCCTCAGATGGTGAGGTGCGCATCGCACCCCTTAGGTGTGAATCTATCCATCCCCTCCTCTCCCCTCCCATCTGGGAGAGTCTTAATAACCTGTTTTGAAACTAATGACACCAAAGACTTCCCTTCCTGAGTTAGAGTCCCCATTGCTGGCAAGTCGAACACCAAAGAAGCAACAATCAAACCATCCTCTCATTTCCCATCTACTCACTCAGCGACAGGAATAAAATAAACCAGGTAGTGACTCCCAATGTGTGGTCAGCAGGGTACCACATAGAGCTGCAATGGCGGTAAAAGCAGAATAGCCACATCGCGGGGCCACATATGTCCCTGAGCCTGCAGTGCCAGTTTTGGCTAACCCCAAAATCAGGTTGACTTTGTTCCATAAGAATTGGTCACACATTTTGGTAAACCATTTCCTTGGTGGAATGTAAATTACAAACAGATAGAGTGACCCATCTATCCTGCCTTTCCATCTGATTTCTGCAATTTTAATTCGATTAAATTATAGAAATGGATTAATTTATGACAATTAAAAACAGCTCATTAGCAATGACAAAAGTGCAAGTTAGAACCACAGTGAGGTATCATATTAAACTCACTAGATTAACAAGTATTTTAAAAGTCTGACCATACCAAAGGCTGCTTGGAATGTGTCACAATGGGAATTCTTGAGATGGGATGTGAGGCTCCAAATTTGATTCAACTACTTTGGAAAAGGATTCGGTAGAAATTAGAGTGATACCATAAACCCAGCAATCTCACTCCTGGGAATATATCCTAAGTAAACCCTTGTATATAAGCCCTTTGAAGCATGTTTTAAAGAGTGTTGTATATAACATAAAAATGCTAATAATCCAAGTATCTGTTAATAGTAAAATCAATAATTACATTGCTGTATATTCACACGATGGAGCAATGTACAGCAGTGGATACAAACAAATTATAGCTGCATGCTTCAGTGTGGATGCATCTTAGTCATTTAATATTGAGTGAAATATGCAAGCCATAGAAAGATATATACATATAGTTAGATACCATTTAATAAATTCAAGTCAAGCAAAACAAAACACATTACAGAATACTAGCATATGTAATAGAATTGTAAAAAAAAATTACAATGAAAATAAACCAAATATCAGGATGTTGATCGACTTGGGGCAGGAAGAAAGTTGGGATGGGGGAAGGCCACAGGGAACTTTAAGGGTTTTGGAATTTTCTATTTCTTCAGCCAAATGGTGGGTCCATGGGGCTCATTAAATAATTTACATGTATAGTACATATTTTTTTAGTGTAACTAGGACTCAAGATAAAATTGAGATATTCTGGAGCTGCCCAGTTGGTGAACTCCCCTATGTGCTGGAAGGGTGGTACACCCAGAGAGGGCATGGAAGGCCTGCGGCTCCCCAACACCCTGCCTTGTCCTGCAAGTCTCTTCCATTTAGCCGTTCCTGAGCCTTTATAATACATTAGTAAACATAAAAAAGAAAAATTAAAAATTTCTCCCAGCGTCCTTTCAAGATCAGTTCATAGAGGATCCCTCCCACCCCCAGATTAAAATGCCAACAAGCCCCAGAGCTTTGCTGGCCACTCCTACATAATAGAAATTTCCACAGTCACCTTGTGTGTCTTCAGTCTCCATTCAGCCCTGAGATCTGCCCTTCCACGTACCCAGCGAGGCACGTCATAGATCCCCACCTGAGGCCTGCTCCTCCTCTCTGCACCCCCCTCCACCACTAGCCCTTGCAGCTCCCGCCAATTCTCTTCCTGAGTTGAGTCAGAGCATGAGGAAGGCGAAGAGAAGGGGAAACGGAATGATCTCTCTTGATGGGAAAGAGCGGAAGCTGGGTTTGGGCTCTGTGGTCACGGCAAATTCTAGAACTGACTCCCTCGTGGATCCTTTTCAGAGTCCTTTGAGAACCTACCAGTGACACTTGGGTGCTAGGCCACATATTTCGCTCTGACGTTTCTCCCTGGGTTCCCAGCAGTCCACTGCAGGAGGATTCTGTTGGTGCCCACGTCTGTTCAGCAGGAACCACGCATGTCCCTGTGGCCCCAACCCTCTCCCCTCTGTTTGGCCCCAGAGCAGCTCACTGGCCCCGCTGGGGCCGTCTCTGGGCTGCAGGGTGACGGTCAGGCTGTATGTGCCGGAAGGCTCCTCACCCCGAGCTTCAGGGCTGACACCTTCTGCCTCTCCTTCTTGGTGAGGGGTTGGATGAAGAAATCACTGAATAGCTTTCACCAAGGAAATCAAGTTTAAAACTTCCCACAAATCCCTACTCTCCCTTTTGTATGCATTTTCTGAATGAGGAACCCCTGGATGCAGGACCCAGGAGTTATGTGACTGTTTCTTGGTTATTTCCTTTAAAAAGTTGCACCTTGAGTCTCTGTTTCTCAACTCATGTTGGTATTTGGTATCATTACACATTAATGCCTCGGGCAAATATCCCAATGTAATATCTTTTGACATGTGTTTAGCTCATTGCTCACGTGGACGAGAACAGCCTCGAGATAGGTGGCAAAACCCACCTGTTTCCACTGGCTTCTCCCTCCCAGGCCAGCCTGCACAGGCTCAGCCCCTGGGGCTCGTGGGCATCTGTCCTGTCCCACCCTCTGCCTGTGCCACTTCTCCTCCACGTCAGACCAGTACGGCCGCTGTCCTGCACACACAACAACTTTGGACCTTGCTTATGAAACGGGGATAGTATTACCTGCTTCTCCGTGGCAAGCATTTGGCAGACACAGAAGTGACAGTACCACACAAGAACAATTTGTCTTTACTGTTATGATTACAGCACTTCCTTGACAACCTCGGAGGTTATGTTCCCCAAAATAACCTTGGAAGTGTTAGGTAGATAGTGAGGGATCTCCTCCGGCTGTCATGGGGACAAAGGCCAGCACCCCAGGCAACCGCCCCAGTGGGGGAGGAAGGAACGCCGTGCCAATCTGCCAGTCAGAACTCAGCACCAACTGCAAAAGAATGCAGAGGATTCCCCAGCCCATGGGACAAGCAGCACAGGCACAACAGGGACTAGAAGGTGACCTAGAGCAATGTAGAGCTAATTACCATGTCATTAGCTTAAATCTACATTGTGGTTTATATTCCCACCATGGGCTTTCAGAGGGGCTCATGGGAGACCCACACGCACAGTAGGACTCAGGTGATGTGACTCCCAACCGTCCATCAGAGTGGTTGAATGGACATTTGAACCACAAGGAGGGCCCAGCCTAGGCAATATAAAACAGGACCCCAGACCACAATCAGGTCTCTCCTGTCACAACAGCGGATCCGTTTGCCGTGTTTGCTCAATACACTTCGCGTGTGCTTACCTTACTTTCAGGGTGTCTGGTCATTCTTTGGCCAGACCACACCAAGAACTGAGAACAGACTGCTGACCTGACAGAAGACAGGATCAAGTCCTCTTAGAAAATACAGAACTAGAAAGAAAACAAAATATAATTAACAGGGCCCAGGAATTAAAAATTCTAGATGTTTGCTGCTAACAATTTAATAGATGTTAAATTTGAATAGGATGTTTTAAATGCTGACTTGAAAAAAGCAACTCTTTTCCTGAATAATCTTCTTTAGCTGTTCAGGAAATATTGCTGTTACAGACAGTCTAGGGTAGGGTTGCCCGATAAAATACAAGACACTGGTTAAATCTGAATTTCAGATAAACCATGAATATTCTTTTAGTATAAGTATCTTCCTTGTAATATTTGGGACATACTTGTACAAAAAATTATCCATCGTTCACCTGAAATTCAGACTTAACTAGGTGTCCTATATTTTTATTTGCTAAATCTGGCAACCCTAGTCTAGGCAGGAAGTTTTTTTTCACAACTTTTATGTTATGCAAATTGAGTCTCTTTTTCAAGTTTTCCAGTCAGCCTTCACTAGCTTGTAATGTCACACATTTTATTCTTACATTCTTCTTTGTTTCTTTTTCATAAATCTCGGTAAAATGTACAACTGCCTGAACTTTTTACAAATATTATTTGTGAAATAAGTAGGTGCTTTTTTCTCCTTGTATCTAATCTTCTAATCATAGATTGAGAGGCTGTTTTTTATTTATTTGTTCAATAAATATTCATAGGGCATTGGGGATGCAATGATGAGTGAGAAGAGACACGATTTCTACCCTCATGAAGGTGCATGTCCAGGGAAGGAGAAAAATATTAACCAGCAATTAATACCCTACAGACCTACTCTCATGATTTATGAGATAGGAAATATGATAAATATTGTTGTACTATTTCATTAAGTACCTTGAATAAATCCGCCCAAATTTATTAAAATGCTGTGGATTTTTAGATGCTAGATAGTACACAGAAATAAAACAGTGGCCTTATTGAACCATGATTGGCAAACCTATGGTTGGCAAAAGACTGGTCCCCTCACACACCTGCCTCGTTTCTCTTGTTTTTGCAGGTCTCCTCAAGTTGCTGCTCAATCCCTTTCAACTTTTTGTTAACATGGGAGTTCTGATGTATTTTTCCATTCCATTAACTCCCTTTCCTGGCAAAACATTTTCCTGGTATTAGCATGCCTATTTTTTCACTATTATATGAAAAGAAGATATATATAATTTTCCTCTCTGAGATATCTCCTACCCTGAGCTTCCATTCTCATCCCCATAAACTGAGACTTTTAAAATACTCGGATGCCTCATCTATTTCATCAGCCTCCTGTCACTACCCCAAAGACCAGATTTTGTGGAGACAGTTTCATACCTTAGATCATTATTAGGATTTCTCTGCAGCTTGTCTTTTCTATTGCAAGAATCTTGTATAATCTCTTACATTACACATCCCAAGACAATCTTTCATTATCCACTTATAATTACTCACATTTGATATGTATAAATATATAATATTTGCAAGGTTTGTATCTTACCACTTTTCCCGTTTCTCATTATCTTCCCCTAACTCAGGGATTCTCAGCCTTGGTACTACTGACCTTTCGGGCAAAATAACTAATTGTGAGGGTTGTCCTTGTGCATCACAGGATGTGTAACAGCACCCCTGGCCTCTACCCACTAAATGCCAGTAGCAGAAGGCTCCTTCCATCAGGCCAATTGTGACAACCAAAAGTATTGCCTAATTCTGAGAGGAAGAGGAAGGCACCATCACCCCTGGTTGAGAACCACCCACCTCAAATTCTCTATTCTTTTTAAACTCAGTGTTGGTTTTCTTCATGTGGAGTATATGTCAGGGTAAACAGCTGTCCCCCTTCACATGAAACTGAGGGGTTTCCTAGGTGGTAGAATTTCCAGTATTAAAATGGACAAAGTCCTAGGAAAATCAGGACAAAGTGGTCATCCTAATGAGTGAGATAGTCTAAAATCCATGCAAATTCTCCAATATCCTTCTTCCATTCTCTCAAGTAATTAATATCTTGACTGGGTATTGGATTCTTGGCCTTAGTCCCATCTTCTCAGTAGCCTAAGCCTGTTATTACTCCCATTTTCTAGCACAAAGGGGGCTATAAAAAAAATCTGAGTCCATCCTTAGGAGTTTGCTCTTCCCAGCTGGAAACTTATGTTTTCTTTATTCCTAGAGGTCAGGAATTTTACCAGAATATAGTGAGTGTACATCTTTATTTTCCCACCCCATCCATCCTGCCTGGGATTCATTTACTTATCCCAAACTGCAAGCTCATATATTTCTTCAGTTCAGTAAAATTTTCTTCTATTGTGTGTTCAATTATTGTCTCCCTCTGTCTCTACCTTTTTTTTTTTCTTCTGGAATTTCTTTAGCGCATGTGTCAGGTCTCATAGATCCATATATTTATTCAATGACCATTTTCTCCTTTAATTTACTTACCATTGTTTAATGTTAAATAACATCATGGGTTTTTCATCTCAGAAAATCCTTTTGGTAATGTGCTTGGATCTCTTCAACCGTCCTACTTTGTTACGTTGATTCCTGTCTTCTACAGCAGCTCAGTCTCATTAGGGGTCGGTCTGGTTGGGTTCTCTCTGGCTCTGACTCCCAAACACCACCACCCCCACTTGTGCTGCTGTTCTCTTCTGTGCCTTGTGATTCAGCTTCATCTACTGGACTCCCTGAGTGGTGGTAGATGCAGTTACATCTTCCCAGATGGCCCAGTGGTCGCTTGGTCACCGGCAAGGCACCGGGATGATGCCTCTCTGCTCTCTGTCCTCCAAGCACTCGCCCAGTCTGCAAGTGGAGACCGTGGGAGCCCACCTGTTCAGGGACACCACTGTGCCTTGGGAAAGTGGAGAGTGTGACCTGTATCCTGCCCTAATTCAGCGTCACTCTCTCCCTTCTGTTTATTTTACCTTCATTTATTCCTTCTCTAACACACTTCCTTTCTTTACATAGATTCGATTTTCTGGCCTGTATCAATTTTCTTCTTTCTGAAGAACTTATTCAAACAGTTCCTGCAAGGCGGGATGACTGGCGACAAATTCCTTCAAAGTGTGCCTGAGAAAATCTATATTTCTCCTTTACTCTTAAAGGATAATCTCACCTGGCCGGGCGCAGTGGCTCACGCCTGTAATCCTAGCACTCTGGGAGGCCGAGGCGGGCGGATTGCTCAAGGTCAGGAGTTCAAAACCAGCCTGAGCGAGACCCCGTCTCTACCATAAAAATGGAAAGAAATTAATTGGCCAACTAATATATATAATATAAAAATCAGCCGGGCATGGTGGCTCGTGCCTGTAGTCCCAGCTACTCGGGAGGCTGAGGCAGCAGGATCGCTTGAGCCCAGGAGTTTGAGGTTGCTGTGAGCTAGGCTGACGCCACGGCACTCACTCTAGCCTGGGCAAGAAAGCGAGACTCTGTCTCAAAAAAAAAAAAAAAAAAAGGATAATCTCACCTGATACAGAATTCTAGCTTGGTATGAATTTTTCCTTTCAGCACTTTAAATATTTCACTCCACTCTCACTTGCATGGTTTCTGAAGAGAAGTCTGATGTTATTCTTATCCTCAGTAGGCAAGGTATTCCCCCACCCCATGCAGCTTTTTTCAAGATTTTTCTCTCTGTCTTTGATCTTTTACAGTTTGAATATGAGACACCTAGGTCTGGTTTTTTTATTTTTGTCCTTATTAGTACTCTCTGAGCTTCCTGGCCCTGTGATTTAGTATCTATCATTAATTTTGGGAAATGCTTTCAGTCATCATCGCTTCAAACATTTCTTCTGTTCCTTTCTCTCTTTCTTCTCCTTCTGGTATTTCCATTATCCTATAGTTCTTATATACTCCCTTTCGTCTTTTTTATTCTTTTTTCTCTTTGCATGGTTTTGGATTTTTTTTTTTTTTTTTTTTTTTGAGACAGAGTTGACAGAGTCTTACCTTGTCACCCTTGGTAGAGTGCAGTGGTGTTATCACAGCTCGCCACAACCTCAAACTCCTGGGCTCAAGCGATCCTCCTGCCTTGGCCTCCAGAGTAGCTGGGACTACAGGCATGCAACACCACGCTCAGCTAATTTTTTCTATTTTTGGTAGAGACGGGGTCTCACTCTTGCTCAGGCTGGTCTCTAACTCCTGACCTCAAGGGATCCTCCCACCTTGGCCTATCAGAGTGATAGGATTATAGGTGTGAGCCGCTGAGCCCAGCCTAGAAATTTCTATTGACCTTTCTTCAAGCTCACTGACTTTTTTCCTTGGTAACATCCAGTCTATTTATGAACCCATCAACGACATCCTTTATTTGTTACAGTGTTTTTCATTGCTAGTCCTTCCTTTCGATTCCTAGAGTTCCTCTCTTTGTGCTTACATTACCCATCTCTTCTTGCATGTTTTTCACTGTTTCAGTTAGAGCCATTAGCATATTTGTTGTTTTAAGTTTCCAGTCGGATAATTCCAACATCTCTGCCATATCTGAGTCCGATCCTGACACTTGCCTTGTCTTTTCAAACTGTGTGTTTTGTCTCCTAGTAGGCCTTGTAAATTCTATTGAAAGCCAAAAGGGACCCACCACTTGTTCCCGCAGAGGCTTTTGTTCCTGGGCTTCTGTCCCAGTAAGCTGTGATTTGTCTACACTGGCCTGTCTGCCTCTCTGCCCCTCTGATTTGGGAGCCAGTGGTTTGTCCTGTGACCCAATTCTCTCATGGATAGAGTAAGAGTTGCTGATTTTCAGTTTTCTTATATAATCATATATGAAAATTTCTGAGTTCTAGTATTTGGGACATATTCCTTTCTCTTGTGAATGTTAAGGATATACTATTATGTACTTTACTCAATACATCAAAATCAATGTGCTGAAACCCACGGAAACTAGAAACCAGGAGTCCCTCCTTCTCTTCACAGCACCACTGCCAACACGCCCATCTCTAAGACGCAATTGACTTAATTTGCCTCACTAAGGCTCTTCTCGCTGACTTCAGGCTGCTGTAAAGCTCACAGGAGAGAAAGTCTGCATCGACCCTCTCTAGCAAAATCAGCCAGAGCTGGGGCCAACTTTATACCCTCCCGCCGCACACCTGCCTGCCGACTCCAGCTGGCTCAGGCTCAGGAGAGGGGTGTGCCCTGGAGGAACGCTCGGACACACCCAAGTTGCCATCTTGCCAGAACGTTCTTCAATCCTCCTGCACCCAGTTAGTTGCCAAATCAGGTAGATTCTGCTCTTTTCCTGTTCTTTCTTCCACAGCCTGGCCCAGGTCCTCATTCCTTCTGCTCTCGGTCCCTCACAGGGCACTCTGTCACCTTCTCTCCGCAGGACTCTCCCCAAACAATCCGGCTCACTCCTCGCTGTCAGGGAAGCACAACTCGGGTCATTTTCCTGCCTCCTCAGAAACCTCCAGTGCCTTCCCAGTGCCTTCTGAACTAAATACGACATTCCCAGCCCTGACATTTAAGATGAACTTACATTTCCAATCTTAACTCTCATCAATCTCCTCCTCCCAGCCAAGCTAAAATTGTAGACATTTTCTCAACACCTGGGCACTTTCCATTCTATACCTTATCATTTCTGTTCTGCTATCTAAAATGCTTTCTCAGTTTGCCAAATTCTTACCTATCCTTCAAACACCACCTCTTTTATGAATCCCCTCTCATCCTAACAACCAACAGCTAACTCTTGCTGGCTCTCTTTCCATCTCCTTTCCATGCCACTTTCACTCTCAGCATTCATCAGTCCCCTTTGTTTAGAGTATCGTTGTCCTTTGAGCGGCTGTCTTTTCTGCCTATAATATTTCTAGTTCCTTGAGGACAGAGTCTGCACCTTGCTAATCTCCGTATTCTTCTGCAACAACCAGCACAATGCTTTGCAAACAGTAGTTGCTCAATAAATATGCCTTTATTGAAAACATATTATTTTACAATGACAATACATAGGTTTCAGCACATTGGTTTTGATGTATTGAGTAAAGTACATAATAGTATATCCTTAACATTCACAAGAGAAAGGAATAAATCCCAAATACTAGAACTCAGAAATTTTCATATGATTATATAAACAAATCCTCCTTTATTATGTTTCTGTCAATACGTATGTGTTTACCAACTCTCAACTTGTAAACTAACATTATTTTCTATCTTTACTTAACTTTTGTTTTTTAATTGATGTCTGTTTTACCCAAAAGAACAAAGTTTTTAATCACTTCATGAATGTCACTATACATATGTTGGGAGTACACAACCCCAGGAGATACTAGTGACCAGTCTTATAGCATGGGCTGTTGCTTTTTTTATCTCCCCAAAATGAGAATTTACTATAAATGATGGACCTTGAGCCATTTGTGTTTTGTTTTGTTTTGTTACAAATAGTTACCACCACAAATGTTAAGTCCTTATTGCTGGCCGGGCACAGTGGCTCATGCCTGTAGTCCCAGCTACTTGAGAAACTGAGGCGGGAGGATCACTTGAGCCCAGGAATTTGAGGCAACAGTAAACTGTGATCACTCCTCTGTACTCCAGCCTGGGTGACAGAGTGAGACCCTGTCTCAAACAAACAAACCAAAAAAAAATCCTCATTGCTAAGAAACTACTTTATTAAGAAGAATATTCAAACTATCTGCTACTTGCCATAGGTAAAATTTAGTGCCAGCAATAAATTTTTCTGGGTTTAGACTATTACCCCATGCCTCACTTCTCTCTGCACCTCTTTAGGAACCACACGGCTACAGTGATAATCAGCATCAACATTCTTAGCCATAGACTAAGATAAACTTTTTCTGTTGACTTTTTTTATTGTGGTGAAATACACATCACATAAAATTTACCCTCAGCAACATTTAGTATATCCACAATGTTGTGCAACTTTCACCCGACTGTCTACTTCCAAATCTATTGACTTTTTTTCCTAATAGATTTTTGCTAAAATAAATTAGGACTATTTTCTAAAATATAAGCAGCTATTGATTTTGCAGAAGTAGATATTTTAGTTCTCTTAGACTCAACAGCAGTTGTAACTCAAATGTAAATATCCCCCTCCAAAAAGAATCACTGTTTGGTCTCTCTGTTGGTCTATGCAGAACAGTCCTGCAAATAATATATAATGAAGATTCATTTGACTTGGGAGGACCACGCAGCAAAGTGGTTTCTAGCTCCTGGCAGAATGTTCCTGGAACAAACCTGAATGAGGCACAGGAGACCCAAGACCTTGGCACATTTTCACCTAAGCCAAGTCACACCATTAAACCTCAGTTAGGAAATATCAATAACTTCCAAAAAGTGGATTGCAGGTTAACATATTACCAGCTGTCGGCACCTCAGGAACTAAATTGAATGGCCAGGGACTTGAGATATGAAAGGTAAAGAAAGAAATCACCTGGGCCTCCTTTAGTGCTGTCATTTGTGACATGTCCTCTCAACCTCACCCAACCACCTCTCCCTTGGCAACAGAATAAAACATAAATAGTAAAAACAGAGGGTTTGGTTTGGTTTGGTCATTAAACAAATAGGCACAGTGCAATTATAAAATTCTAGAGATATAAAAGCTGATGTCTCAACAACCACTACTCTTCCTACTCCTGTATTTTATAATTTAACCCAGATGTTTTGAGTTTCCCCCAAATAATGTCTTTCAGAGAAAGATGTTTTGGTCTTTGGTCTTTGGCATGTTTCTGATCTTAGGTAAATTATTTCTACCTATTTTTTTTTCTCAACCTTTACAAATGGTATTTTCAGAAAATTCCATATAGCATCATATACTAGGGTAACAGTTTTTAAAAATTGGAATTTTATAAAAAATGCATTTATATAACTCCTCTGGCCCAATGATTCCTTGAAAAATTATTTGGGAAACATCGCTAGCCCAATAGGGTTTGTCGGCCAATAGAGACAGACAGAGTCTCTCAAGATACAGAGGAAACCCTGAGGCCTCCACACTGATGGATTTTGTCAAATAACACCAAAAAAAGAAAGAAGGAAAATTAGTGAATTCAAGAAGTGACCACCAAACTTGTTAAATTTATTATTAGAATAAAAATCCAACCAGTTTCAAAATGAATTAAATTAAAACCTTCAGAGGTTTCACACTGAATCTTACGGTTTGCATGTATTCCTGACAGAAACCCCAGTGGCAACACAAATCAAGAGGGCCATAAAAATAGATAGAAGCTGAAACTAGAAATTTCCACACTTCCTGACCAAGATGCTGACTTCCCACTCTGGCCTGCTGCCCTGAGTTGATTGCCCAACTTGGCAGATAAACAAACACACGCTCTAGGTAGCCAGGTGTCCCCATCCAAATTAGTCCCAATTTAGCAAATAAAAGTAATCACCTGGCCCTGGTCACCTCACACAGGCAGGGCAATTGCGCTGTGTGTGTGTCAAGGTCACGCAGACGGGTTAACATAATCACACTGCAGAAAGCGGCGCTTCCCCCAGGCTGTACCTCGCAGCTTCCTTTCTCAGGGCCGCACTCACCCCGCGCGCCCAGGCAGGCGGGCCAGCCTCGAGCCACGCCAGGGAAGCCTGCTCTGGGCTTCCATTTCAAACTGCAGATCAGCACTCTCCTCGGCTGCCCAGCCTGGGCCTCAGTGCCACTGGCTAAGACAATAGGACAGCGGGGGAGGTCTGATCCCAAGTCAAGCCAGCTCAGTCTATCTCAAGAACACAAAAGCCACCCGAGGAGCCGGAGCCCCCTTCCTGCCCACTGCATGGCAACGCTACAGCTCACACATCTCGGGCTTGCAGACCAGCAGGCCCCACAGAAATCCGAAATCCTCACAGATGGCTCCAGCGTGGCCTTGGGCCCACTGCTAGCAGCCCAGTGCTGGGAGGGGAGTAGAGGGCGAGCGCAGAGCATTTCCTCTCACTCTTCTTTCCTTCAAGCACGGGTGCAAGCCCTGGTGTGCTGGTGCAAGCTTTGGGAGTATTTCATTTTAGAGGGTTCCTTGTTAAAGAGCTCGGGAAAAGTTGAATGATACCACGCCCAAGAAAAGTAGACCTCTGGTTTCTAGGCTAAGACCGGGCGCAAGCCCCATAACACATTATGGCGACTATTTCCAAGGCGAAGTATAAAGTCTAAGAAAGGCATCCCAGTCTCAGAACAAAGCATCATACCCCTCCAGGGGGAACAGACCATCTGCAACAGGCATAGGATGGCTTAGGTGCAGACTTGCAGGGTGGAAAGGGGTAGTATAGGAAATATACTATGGCTAAAAGATGGAAAATGGGCCTAAATTTTGGTGTAGGGACTCTGGCCTTCTTCCAGCAGAACATATTAAAACCAAAATCAGGGGTGGTGCAGCAGGAATGACTCATTCTCCTGACAAATAGCCACCCAAACAGTTGGCAAGCTGCCCTGCTCCACCCATTCCTGGTCATCTTACCACAAATGTAAGCATCTGGCACATTCATCATCTTTTCTGGGGCATGAATGAATGCTCAGGCTGTAGATAATTTAGCAGAAATATATGTGTGTATTATCATGCAGATAAGACAATTATTTCATAATAGAAATGGAACCCGAATCTTCTTTGCCTGACTTTTGATCCTGCCAGCATTGCAGAAAAACACTCCCTGATACGTTAGATAGTCGGGAAATGGAAGCACAGAAGGAGAGAGAGATTACAGGCCACTCCGTGCATTTGCTAACACGTGCTGTGATCTTAGCCCTTCCTTGCGGGTATCTGATTTCTCAGGGAAAAGGAAAAGGCAAAGGAGAGACAAAGAGGTCCCCACCCAGCCTGCATGGTTTTTTTTCCATACTGGTTTGTAACTGGAAAATAAACATAACTATATACTGTAATGTAAATAGGACAAAAGTACAGGAACAGACCAAATGGTATAAAATGATTAAAAAAGAAAAAGGGAGGAGGAAGAGGAAAGGAAGAGAGAGAATAAATAAACGGAAGAAAAAATAAATTCGTAAAAGTGACTTTCATTATGGCATTATTGTTGCAGGGGCAACTCTCTTTCAAATCAGATCAGGTCATGGCATCTTGCTTCATTTCATGATAAAATTTAGATGTAGACAGATGTAGGTAGAGATAGAAGATTTTCCACTTTAGATTTTAAACTCAGCAAGGAGAGGGACACCATACTCCTTATTTAATTCCACAGCATCAAACTCTTGGTAGAAAAATGAACTTTAACTTTTCTAATCTAAATGGACAATAATTGGAAGATGTAGGGGAAGAGGGAAAGAAGTTGAATGGGATGGCTGAGAGAAAGTTTGTCTGAGCATGAAAAAGGAGCTGTAAAGGGAGGAGGAAGAGGAGGGGTGCTAGAATAATCTGCCTTCGCAGCCACACTGTGCCAGCATCAGGAGACCTGTGGGCCCAGACAGAGAAGGGGAAACT